CCATTAATATCCAGCATTTAAGCTGGGTTCATGAGAACATACACGTTAGCACACAAGTTACCGAAACAAGCAAAACCCGTGCTGCGTTGCCATTAGAAACAACCTGCACCCAGGGCGTATTTACTCTCTCTGCTGCCCCAATGCCAGGTTCCTCAATACGTCCCCCCTGTATGCAGGCTGCATACAAGTGTTCTCGGCAACATCGCCAAGATCACTTGTACAAAACAAGCAGCGGCTTCCCCATTGTACATTTAGCCCTGCTTGCCAAAATGGGGGGGGGCGTGGAAGCGGTGCCAATGAATACAATGCACCGCCACGCCCCCTCCCGCCCCAAAACGCGGGGGGGGGAAGTTTCACAGCGATCACGGTGTGTTCCAGCAGCTGCCGCTCTGGTACGTACACGCTTTCGGTGTGAACAAGGTCTAAGCCATGGCCTAAGAGCAAATGTCTAAGCAGGTAGCATGCCCCCAGCCAATGACCCAGGCAGTTACCCAGGAATGTGTACTCCATCTTCCCCTGGTAAAACTGTGTACTCCAGGTGATAATACAGGAAGGTGTAAAAGCAAGGGGTGGAACGATTGTTACATCTGAGAAGAAACAAGGGGATAGTCTGGTACAGAAACAGAACTAGCTGAAGGGTACTTCTTCACCCCACATCTTTATATAAACAAGGAGTGGGATGCTGGTGCCATCATTAACTTTATATGGTCACGCGGTCATATTTCGTCAATGACCTTTGTTTATGTGGAGCTGTGGGGTTGAAAAATGCCCTGGCCAAAGCTGGTTAGGCTGGCACTGTCAGCTTCCTTCCTGGTTTGGATGAGCTCAGGCTCATCTGTAATGCCCACCAATGACTTCATGGCATACTTAGCATTAACTCACAGAAATCTGTGCTTATCATGCAAGGGACACTTGGTTGTGTCTTCTCCTTAGGCCAAAAGTTACCATGAGTACAATGAGTATCTGCCATTAATATCCAGCATTTAAGCTGGGTTCATGAGAACATACACGTTAGCACACAAGTTACCGAAACAAGCAAAACCCGTGCTGCGTTGCCATTAGAAACAACCTGCACCCAGGGCGTATTTACTCTCTCTGCTGCCCCAATGCCAGGTTCCTCAATACGTCCCCCCTGTATGCAGGCTGCATACAAGTGTTCTCGGCAACATCGCCAAGATCACTTGTACAAAACAAGCAGCGGCTTCCCCATTGTACATTTAGCCCTGCTTGCCAAAAGCAGGGCTAAATGTAGAAAACAGCTACCCACCCGGCGCCCAGAACTGCATGTCCCAGCCATCGGGAGATAGGAATTCCACACCCCTGCTGCCCCTCTACACCCCTGCTTCCCCAAGGCCGGGCCTCGCTTGGCCTTGTGGGAAATCCGGCCCTGCTGGCACTGCAGCACTTTTTTTTGCTTGTAGTGGTAACACACATGCTAACATGCATGTTCTCGCAGTGCAATGGCGTGAACCCAGCCTAAATGTAATGCCGCCCAATTTACTTTACAAATGCATATGCGCTTTACAACAATATAATGCACAGTAATGCAATACATACAAGTATGTGCTCCATTTTTGTTATGTTTTAGTGTGTTAGGGAGGCCATTCAAATGAATGGGCTGCCTTAACACAACTCACGTCAACGCACATTGTGTCAATGCACAGCAATAGTGTGAACACAGTCTAAAGGTTAGGGAGGCTCTAACAAGTTCCCTTTAATACTGGATACTAATGGCAGTTATTGACGCACGCTAATGCTTAGAGCTTCCTCTGACAGCACTTCTGCTTTTGAGAGACAAGGGAACTGTAATGTATGGAGAATTGATTTAAAAGTCAATATGAGTGTCTGCAGGCAAAGCTCAGCATATGAATATAGCAGCTAAAGATTTCAATGCTCACATAAACCTTTTTTTACTACATAAAATATTGTAAAAAATATATATTTAAGAGTATGCATAAACTTTAAGAGTATAACTATTATCCAGATACTAATAGTAACTAAAGCTGGCCACACACCTATAGATTATCTGCAGATGTTCTATGGTCAGATGGAAAAAGTGCCACAGATTCCTCCATCTACACTAAACTGTGACGATGGAGGAATCTCCCACTGGGCCAAGCTTCAGTATCTTGCTAGTCGGCCCCGCTGGCTCTCAAAACACCTGAACAATGTCTGCATCCAATCAGATTGTTCAGTATTTTGAGAGCCAGAGGGGTTGAGGAGCAAGATACTGAAGCTTGGCCCAGTGGGAGATTCCTCCATCCACACAGTTTAGTGTACATGAAGTAATCTGTTGCACTTTCTCCATCTGACCATAGAACATCTGCAGATAATGTACACTGAGTGGCCAGATTATTATTATTATTATATTATTATTATTACCACCTGACGTTTGTAGGCAAATTAGCTATAATTAGCTATAATTTTGCGCTGAAGTTGCTAGAGGGCCAGACCATTATAAATAGGGAAGCAGGTTGTTTACCACGACAGTAGAAGTGATTGTTTTCTGAAGATAAGGGGAAACAACGCGATTTAACAGCCTTTGAATGTGGGATGATTGTTGGCGCTCTGAGCCATGGAGCGAGTATCAGCAAAACAGCAGAATCCGTTAGATGTTCAAGAGCAGCTGTTGTTAAAGTGTTTAAAGACTGGATTGTTTTGGATCTTCAGCTTGCCCTGCCCCTTTTGATAGTGGCTGTTATTTTCTTTACTTTCCTTATCCAAACAGGCTTGAATATCTCTTTGTAGATATGGTGATGCCATGCTTTTCTTGCTGTTTAAAACAGGAAGGATGGAAGAAGCCTTCTTCTCTGCAGCTTCCACATGTCTTCCCAGGTGATGTGGACAATGCTTTATTGTCAATCGCAATACCTGGGCAGGAACTGGCATTGAGCAGGTGGGTTCTCAGCAGTTAGGCTTCTCTGCCTGCATGATGATGCAGTGTTCAACAGGGTAACAACACTGCACAGTGCAAATTTCTTTTTTATAAAATTTTTATAGATATAGAGGGGAGACAAATTGCACCTGATATTATGCAGTTTACTTTATGACATTATGATTAGGGATGGTCTCGATGTTCGAGTCGACCAACAGCTCGAACTATCAGGGCGCTCGGCGAGCTGTTCGCCCGCCGAGTGCCCCACAAGGCACTGCGCACCGCAGAGTGATTTGTGAAGCCCTGATTGGGTAAAGCAATGCACCTGACCGCAGGTCAGGTGCAACACTTTGCCCAATCACGGCACAATGCACTGAAGAGCATCTGAAGTATTAATATAATTAGGATGTCTTTCATTTGTTTCTGGCAGCAGTTTCCTACCTGTTTTTATAAATAGGTCCCAATGAGTCACCTGGTCTTACAGTAATCTAATGCTAGCCATACACTTAACAGTAAACAATCAATTCAAGATTTGATTGTTCCTTTTCAATGACAATAGAGGCTTTCTGATCGAACTGACCACTTAGTGCAATCGATTTCTGAAAGCAAAAATTCTTTAATTAAATGGAGTGTTATATTAAACATTTATAACGTTATGCTTATGCTACGCATAGCAGTTACAATGTGGGTCCCCGTTATGCATGTCAACAGCCTGTTTCTCTTCAGGTCCATTTAAACCAAAGAGCTCTATAGCCGTGTGTTGGATTAAGGCAGACCATTCAAGCGATGTGCTCGAGCAAATCCCAACAAGCCTAAAATCATACCTACAATGCACAGTAGCTGTGTTGGTACAGTGGGGTGCTATTCAAAATGAATGCACCTACACATGTATTGTGCGTTACTTCATGTTGTAGTAACACGCATAATGGTGTGGACAGGCCCTTTTACTACAGGAAAAACTTTGCCCCAAAACAAGTTGTTTTTTCTTTTTAGAGGAAAGTTTTTAATTATTTTTTTCTAAGCAATCAAAAAGTCCTGCACATCAGAAACTAATGATTATTTCGACAACTGCAGATTTTCAGGTCACCCAAGTGCTGTGTAAAGCGTTCTATTAGAGTTCTGTTTCAATGCAACATCTTCCCCTTGGATAGACTACTGACAGTTGGGCTGTCCTGCTTCACTCCTGAGTGCGTTGTATTCATTATTCTTTTTAATAAAGCTATATCCTTTTATTGCATCAGGTTGGTGGACTTCTGCTTTGTATTTACAATATTTCAATACTTGGGCTATCCCTGCCTTAAAGCTAAACTGTGGGTTAAACATATATTGTCTACATACAAGACATGTGTATTGTTAGTTGAATCGTGGTGTCATTTGTGTACTTCCTCCACATACAGTATGTGCAGTAATCCAACACAAATCAACTCCTGCACTTTGCCTCTGTGCAGGAGAGTTTTTTTAATAAAGACCTATCACTATTACCCTCTCTCTGCTTATGCAGGGTGACTGGTCTTGTATTCACTGCCTCTGTAGTTTTCTTTAGGCAGCCTGTGGTTTCTTCCACAACTCTGTTCTCTGCACAGGCTATGTATAAGACAGTGATGATGTCACTGCTACTTTTAAGAGTTAAAAATCTGGTTTGCAAAGGCATTTGGTGCACACAAAGAGGGGTCACCTGCTTTGCAGTTATTGAGGAATATATTTGAATGAACATTTTGTGTCTGGAGTTCAGCTTTAAGAAGCTTCAAAACCTGGCTTTCATCTCCACTTCACTGTTAGCACAGAGTTGAAAGGACAGAACTGTAGAACTGAACGTGTCAAAGGTGTGTGCAACTATTCTTTTCCTGAAATATTAAATAGGAACATTTTGTAATGCAGATTTCTCTTTGTTGCAAAGTCCTCTGTAAGGACGTGCCATAATTGCCATATCCGAAATGATAATGATTTCTTTAATCAAACACCTCCAAAAAATATTTTTTCATATTTAGTTTTCCTTTTATACCGAGACCAATTGTTTCTGGTAAAGATGTTTTTAAAACACATGACCAGTCATGACAGCAAGATGGGTGGGGAAAAAAAAGAGGCCTTCCTTATTTTGCTGAAACAGGGAATACGGTACATGTATAAATAAATAGCAAGTTAAGAAGACTGAAGACTTTCATACAGAAACTATATGTAGTAGTCATTTACAACAGAAATATTACAGAAGCTGCTGACTTTGTGTCATTGTGCATATAATATTGTCGATAGATCTAATTTGGTATTCAGTGCAAGGGAAAGTTCTTGCTCCAGTAACTGATGAAGAGACGATCCATCGTGTGAATAAATCCACATTGTTCCTGTCCAGTCATATCGTTTTGGTCCACTGGAAAATAAACACAGGAAACAAATAAGAACAGAGTTTCTAGAGCACACAGAACAGTACAGACATGGTCAGAGAATCATTGAGATATTTACTTTACAATGTGTATATCTAATACAGTAAGAAATATGGTAGGTGCTATAATGGTTAACATTTCATGTTGATATTTATTGTAGCCACATTATAGAATTTACCGCAAACCTAGTGACCATGGATTCAGGAAAATAAATGGATTGAATTAAGCAAATCGACTTAATGTAGATGTCACCAATCAGCCGCAAAGGCTAACCTGTGACTTGCGGTTCTCTAACCATGTAATCTCACCTACCTTGCTATAGTCTGCCTTGTTCTAGGACTGGGAGGTATAGGAATCACCGGAATTTCACCTGCTGGCCGATATAGCACCTACAGAGCTATTCCCTCCCAGCCTGTCAATCAACCCCACTTTTTAGCAATAGGTTCATTTCCTAGCCCAAGGCTCTAGGTCTTTGATACCTTTTGCATTGCTGCTTCTCTGTTTCGGACTTTGGCTTTTGCTTGACTACCCTTGTTCACTGCCCACCCTGACCCTTGACTTTTCCCTGTTCAAGAATCTGCCAGTCAACTGCGTACTATGCTCTAGTTCTATTCTTGGTCAGCTGGCATCTGCACAGATGTACCCAAAGGATGCAACCACCAGTAAAGTCCATCATTCCTCATGTGGTGCTCTGGTGAAGATATGGTGGGTGGACTTAGACTCTGCACCTCAGCCCTTTTAAAAGATAACACTAGCCAAACCTTTGTTTTGGCTTTAGTTCTCTTTTGGGCCACAGCAGCACATTTGCTAATGTTCTCCTGTGACGCGAAACTCAGCAGATAGTGGGCTACTGCCCTCTATATGCTGACATATGATTGACAGCTGGCTCTGCCCCTCTAGAGCCAGAGCCAGCCGTGCCTGCCCCCGTCCCTGTCTGTCCCTCCAATGAGCTCTGGAGGAACAAAGAGAGGGCAGGGGGGAATCCCTGTGAGGAGAGGTGACTGACAGTCAACGCTCTCTGCAGGGAGAAGCCATGAGCTGAGCGATTAGTGGCTCCTGATTGCTCAGTTCTCGAGCTATAGCAAACTATTGAGAAAAGTCCTAGGCTGTAATTGGTCTTTAGTTTTGTGCCTAGCGTCCTTCTCCTGCAGGTGGCGATATTACCCTACCATTCAGGATCTACGATCTGTTGCCTGTGTCCTTCAATGAACGGAGAGAAAAGGATTTTACGGTGAGTACAAAAATCCTATTTTTACTCTCTAAATAGTTTTCCTTTAAGGGCTCACACCCACACCCTCTTCCATGTGCAGATAGCACAGAGGGTCCACTATAAAGTATCTGTGACAATAGCTTTAATATGAATTTTATACATTTATTTCTGATATTGAAAGCCTCAGCCTTGTGTTATAGGATTATGTAGAACGTTCTCTTATGCTCCAGTGTGTGCGCATGCGCGAGTTGGGTTGCAGTGTTTTACCAATGGACACAATAATCTCCATTTTCACACACATAAATACAATAGAGTGGAGAGGAGTTGGAACCACTGTCAGTTTATTATTGCTGTCTGTGTCCCCACACTGTATGTTTTACCCACTGTATGTTTTACCTGATGAAGGGGATCCTTTGTGACCCCGAAACGTTCGTTGTTTTTTACCACGATGCACGTCAATAAATAGACGTATTTTGCAAATTTGGAGTGCCGATGTCTCTGCTTTAGCTCACGATTGTTACGGCTGCCACCCGTTGACTACCGCAGCACCCAATTCTTGAAGGGATTCACGCGGTCAGGAGTGCGATGGGACCATGGACTACCCATTAGGGAGAGTCACCCCTCTATTTGTCTTGGTGACCACTTATTGAGACAGAAAGTGAGGGAAAATCTAAAATTTTTAGTTATCATCAGAACAGAAGCTGAGGGAGAATTTTACAGTGAGGACACTTGTTCCAGTGACAACTGTTGTAAAGGGGATTTACCTGATTCTGGAGAGTCCTTACTTCCTGTTGTGTCTCGAATGGTAAGATTAAACTACTCTATTCCCTACTTATTCCAAAATAAAAATGAAAAGCTTTGGTTTTAGATAATCTTTAACTACTTGTATGTTTATCTTGATTGGCTTGTGTCTTCCAACCACCAGTACTGTGTGATATTATCATTCATATACAGTATTTCAATATATTAAAAACTCTGCGAGAATATTCTAAAATCACAGAGGTAAACAGACACGTAGTTCATTGCAGTGAGGACAAGGGAAACAAATGTTTGAGTGTGACTGGTTTCTGTGGGTGGCACTTGCACTTTTCCCCTCATACCCTTCCTTCAAGAGTAATGATGACGATTATCATCAATCTGGAAAGAATTATACACATTCCGAAATAATTTATATTCCATATGAATACCTATAAAATGCATTAAAGGTTTTCATTTTTGTAATAAATAACATATTCAAAAGACACTGCAGATGATCTTTAGGACAGACAGGAGACCCTTACGTACCTTGAGGGAGATGATAGCCAGATCTGTCTGTTTGGTGTCTGTTTATTGATCACATAGGTTCCAACGTCACTGCCAACATTTACTGTAAGTACACCGTTCTAGTGGCAAAAATACAAAAACAAAATATGGTTACATATCTGAACAAACTACCGAAAGATAATAATACGGCAACCTTCACAATACTATTTCTTAAATTTGAAACATTGATCTTGATTTTACTGAAAATAACTCGGGATAAAATCAGAGTTCATCTTCTCCACATGTTCACACAAAGGATAGAGAGATGCAAACATTGCGACTTTTGTATTTACTCCATTTCAATTATCTTCAGATCAAAGAGATAAGCTACAATATGCATATGATTTATATGGCTAAAGCAACCTGACAAGACAAAAAAATAAGTATTTTAAATAAAATGTGTTCCTATTTAACTCCTACTCCTTGGTGTACCCAAATAAGCCTTAAATAACTCAATCTTTCCCTTCTCCCCATAGCTACTCTATTCATATTCTTGATCAGTTTTGTTGTTTATTTTCTATTTTTCTAACAATTAACATTCAAGCTTTTTTTTCTTTTACATTTGCTTTCTAATTATGTTTAGGCACATTACAAAAGGAGCCTCAAAATGCCTTAAAAAAAATCGATCAAAATAGAAAAAAAGTGCACTTTTAAGTTTTGTACTTTTTTCTGTCTATAGATTGCGTAGAAAATAAGATACGTTTTACACAACATTGTCACTATAAAAAAGCCGTACTTATCCTAAAAGTGATATATGTATTACTTTGGTTATTTTTAAGTTACTGCTGAATAAACAGGCCCATAGAAGAAATTTAAAAATTGCTCTAGCCCATAAGGGGTGTACAGATGTGAGAGCCGAAATGGTTAATATTTTGCATCACAATTGTAAACAGATTGTTTTTTCTGTATGAGAGATTTCCAGCAAAACTTCTCAAATTGTTGCTGAATTATATTCTGTATACTACGCCATACTGTACCTGCTGTGTTACACATATGTTATACAATTCATACAATTCAGTGAGACACATTAAAGCGGACCTTTACCCCTGTCTTTAAAAGAACAACAAAGGAACCTTTAGAAATGTTTAGTAATGACAATCTACAAACACATACTTCTAGATAATTGCAGGTTTTGTATTCTTTGCATACCTTATTATTTTTTTCTTTTTCCTCTTCCTCATTCTTCTGAAAGTGGCCATTTTTGGTAATGGCAGGTTACTAGATCTTCCTTTACTTTCTAGAACTCTGGCACAAACGACCATGCACATCATCTCAGGGGAAGAAAATGCCTTTCCCTGAGATCTCATGAGATTACAGATGAGATTTCCCAGCAATGCTCTGCTGATGTAACCTTCCCAGGATGTAACACTTGGGCACATTACATCATTTGGGCCAAAGGGACCAGGAAGTAGATGAACTCTATTTGTAAGTAAAATAAAAATATGTTTAACAAATGAATCTAAGATGAATTTAAATCAGCATGCAGAGGTGCATGCTTATGTGATTTTTAGTGAAAGCGGGTAAAGGTCCACGTAAGACCCTATTCACACTGAGCTACATCCAAAAAAGCACTTTTTTCAGAGCGATTTTGAGCTGAGCGACATTGAGCTACAGTGCACATTTTGTCGCGCCAAGCAGCGTGACTTTTCACAGGGACTTTGTAGCTGCTACATTGGGCTGTAACCAATCAAAAGCGGTCTTGATGTGACATTATGCCTTCCTTCTTATATTTCTGTGCAAAAGTGACACTTCTGTTGCGCGATGTAGTGTGACAATGTCGCACAATGTTGCTCAATGTTGCGCAATGTCACCCGACATTGAGCTACACCATTAAAGTCTATTGGACCAAATCGCACAAAATCCGCAAAAAAATAGGTCATATTCGAGCTACAAGCTTGAGCGACGAGCTACAGGCGACATTGAACTGTGAGATGTGAACAGCTCCATTGAAATGCATTGGTCAAGCTACATTGAGCTGATATTTAAGCGATTTTGGAGCTGAAATCACGCGATAAATCGCTCAGTGTGAATGGGGTCTTAAGGTGGACCTTTACCCCTTTTCACTAAAAATCACAGCAGTATGCAGCTCTTTATGCTGATTTGAAATCATCTTACATTCATTTGTTAAACAAACATATTTTTCTTTTACTTACATTTATTGTTTTTCCACTTCCTGGTCCTCTTGTGCATTAGTGATGTAATCTGTGCCCAAGTGTTGCATCCTGGGATGGTTACATCAGCAGTGCATTGCTGGAAAATCTCATGAGATCTCATGGAAAGGCATGTTTTCCCCTGAGATGATGTGCATGGTCACATGTCCTAGTCACATGTGCCAGAGTTCCAGCAAGTAAAGGGAGATCTGGTAATCTGCCCATAATAAAAATGGCCACTTTCAGAAGACTGGGGAAGAAAAGAGAAACAAGGTATGCCAAGAATACAAAGCCGGCAATTATCTAGAAGTATGTGTTTGTAGATTGTCATTACTAAACATTTCTAAAGGTACATTTGTTGTCATTTCAAAGATCAGGGTGAAGTTTATCTTTAAGACTAAGACATTAGATTGGAAATTGTACAGTTCAATACAACAATTGTTTTGCATTGTATGCCTCAATCATGCAGTTTATGGCTGAACTGAGAAGCCATAACATGCATTATCTAATTGCCAGCATGTGGGAAGTGCTTTGTGACCATTCAGCATTTACTTTGCTCCACTAAATTATATGGAAGTCAGTGTAATCAAATAGAGAAGTGAAGTTGGTTCATGTAGTGAATGATCTCTGTGACTACAGGGGTATTCTCTCATTAAAGTGGACTTGAATTTAAAAAAAATGACAATTTGCTGTGAAATTTGCTAGATAGGAAAAATCTAGAGCTGTCAATTTTGCCCTAACAGATTTACCGTTTGTCTTCAATTCCTTCTGAAAAAAATATCAGATCATTTCCTGGTATGTAGGGTATGCCAAGGTACTCCAGCACAGCCTCTTGGCTGTATATTTGCAGTGTGAGATCTAAGGTACTCTGACTGCTAGTCTCATAAGATTTGGTGATATCACTACTGTTCTGCTACTGCAAGAGGCTCTGACATGAGGAAACGAAGCCCTGTCTCTACTAAGATGGGCCCATCTGCACAGAGACACAGTGTAGAACAAGGCAAAGTTAGTTAGTAATGGGGAAACGATCAACTGGAGAGAGACCACAGGCAATACTGGTGACTAGTCCTTTGCTTTTCTCAAGACAGTTCAATTCCTCTTCAACATTATTTTTCAGCAAGAATTCCCGCGTAGTCTTCAAAGGAGAATTATGAGGCGAGTGAAAATCACTCAACCTCATAGTTCGAGCCGAAGTGTGACAATTACACTGTCACACATCAGCTCAATAGATCGGGAAGTGAGCGAACACATACTGGCACTCGCTCACTTCTCGATCCTCTCCTTGCAGAGAGCCGTGACTGTCACTCACGGCTCCCTGTGGGATTCCCCCCTCCCCTCCCTGATCCTCCAGCGCTGACTGGCAGAACGGATGGGGCGGGTACAGCTGGCTCTGCCTCTAGATTGGCAGAGCCAGCTGTCACTCACGCAGCTGGGTGGATCTCGACAGTAGTGTCGGGATCCACCCCAGGTTCGGCGGTCTCAGTATACCGGGAGCTGTAGCTCGCGATATACTGTGCTTTGGGTGAGGGGAGGACGCTAGTTTATGTCCTCCCATGACCCTTAGGAGAACTATGCGGAAAAACACTTACCCCATAGTTCTCCTTTAAAGGTAATTTAGTGAAAATGTAAACTATTTAAAGGAAGACTAACTTCTCATTCCTGCTCTAACAGTAAAAGTTAAATTCTACCAAGAACAATTATTTGCAGTAGTATCCACACTCCCAAAAAGTGTGGAACACCAACGGATTATGCAAAAAAGCTAGCGTGTCTATTATAATGGTTGGCTTTATCTAGGATGTATGTGTTCCTAGTACCCAAAACAAGACTGCTAAGGTGCACAAAGGCACACATAGTAAGAATACAATATTCTCTCTGTTCACAATTTAGTATCACCGTCAAGTAATCCAAGGCTAGTAATAATCAGCTAAACACTCTGTCCTATGACTCAATGCTATAATGCAATTGGCATAAAGTCATATCCTTAGAGAAGCAACATTAAAGGCTATCCGATGCTATAAACAAAACAAAGGAAGATATTGATTTCAGTCCTAAACAAAACTAATAGCACACAATCATAACAATCATGTATTGGGGGACTTAAATCAGACTGATCACTGCTAGCTTATTACAAGTCTCTGGGACCCCAGGTTACACAATAAGGATAGCCGTGCAGTTTTTTAACATCTATACATTGCCCTAATATGGGCGAAATGACCCAGAAATGGCGGTAAGCAGATCAATATGAAAATTACTGGAACAAATAAGATATCTGCCTGTGGATTTCATAAGTGTGTGTTGCTCTTTTTTTTGATAATGCAGAAAGACACAATAACAGTCCCTTACATTTCTATAATGGTTAATGGCTTGGGAATGACATGGGAGAAAGGGAAGAGCAGGGGAGAAAGGGATCATAAGGAACAAAATCATGCTGACCAGCAATGCCTTGGGAAGTTATAGGACATCATTCCATTAATACAGTAGTATATTAAAGTGGACCTTTACCCATATCTTTAAAATAATCACAAACACATCTTTAGAAATGTTTAGTAATGACAATCTACAAACAGATACTTCTAGATCCAGCTTTGTATTCTTTGCATACCTTATTTCTCTGACAGTGGCCATGTTTACTAAGGACAGATTACTCGCTCTCCTTTTACTTCCTGGATTTCTGGCACATGTGACTAGATATGTGACTAGGACATGTGACCATGCACATCATCTCAGGGGAGGAAAGTGCCTTTCCCTGAGATCTCATGAGATTACAGATGAGATTTCCCAGCAATGCACTGCTGATAACAAGGCAATCCCAGGATGCAATGCTTTGGCAAACTGGCATTTTGCACTTTTAAAGCAGGAAGTAAATGCTCTGCAAGTGTAAGTATTTCATAATCACAGCATTTTACACCTGACATGTCTATGTTATTATT